ATTTGTAGAGACTGCAAGTTTGCTGCAGGTAATGCTGTTATACACAAGAAAAGACAAATAGGTCAGGTCACAGTGAACCTATTAGAAGTGTGCCGAGAAAACTGGGGGTAGGTTCTACTTGCATAAAATTTCCCAGTGTTAGAGAGGCTACATGTTTAAAGTCAGGCTTGGCATCACTCACTATTTTATGACAAGCCTCAGGGTCCTCTTGTGCTTGTCTTAAAGGAAACATAGCCAATGTTGAGAGGCTGCCTGAAAATCTCAACTTTCCTTTCAATGCAGTAAGAGCTGGATAAAGCTCTAAAGAGCATAGAGCTGCCAATAAAATAAACAGTGTTGAGTAGGCAGAAGACCTCAGATGTCTGCTTGCCGCTATTGCTACATAAGGGAGATAGCATTAATTTCAAATGTGCCTTACTGTATTTTATTTCCTAAAAACATTTGCCTTGCCTCCTGAATGGATCACATCAAAGCACAATTCTGAAAAACTGATTTCCTAGAGAAAACTCACCTGGAGTTCATAAATCAGAAAAATATATACAAAACAGGCTAGCCAGAGCTTATAGCTTTAAGGACATCCTATAATGAGGAACAGAGCAAAGGATACAGAAGAAAATGAGATGTTCAGCTGTGTGCATCAACTTTGATAAAGGGAAAAAGAGAAGAAACCCTCCAAACCCAACAACCTCTTCCAATATACTTCGGTGAGAAAAAAAAAATCATCTCTGCTCAAGATCTGGTTTAACTGTGTACAAATAAGTTATGGAAGCTGAGTGCCCATGGGAGGGGAATGTCACACGAGCACTGCTGCACCCTCTTAGCTCTACACAATCTTCAGAATCTGAAACACACCAGGAAGCCAAAGCATGCATGAAAGGACATGGAGGAAATTATTGCTTCCTCCTCTGTCCTTCAACACCCTCTTTGTCCATGGAGCTACTGTGGAGGAGGAGGGGGGCAGGTAATTACAACTGTGAAGCCTGTTTCCAGGATTTCTCCTCCAAACTTATCTCAACCCTTCTGTTGCAAGACTGAAGAGTTCCATCTTTGTCATTATTTTTTTTAATAGTTTTTCGGAAGACCAAATCTGGTACTTTCAATGGCATGACCAATTTAATCACTGTCTACTACTTTGCTCACTTTAGTTTCCAGTTTGCATTATTCTCTTTACATTGTTTCCCCACTTCAGATTCAAACCTTTTATGTGTATAGAAAGAAATGTCTTAAAACACCTTTAAATATTTGGCTAAGTACTCTATGCTCTTTTAACTTATTTTAATAATCTACTTCATAGTCCTTAATCCTTTTGAGCAACAGAGACTCAAGAAAAAAGAGATCACATGCTATAATACATGTGTTCTATAGAAAAAGAGAAAGATTGAGCAGTTTAGAGAAGTGAAAGTTTGAGTGAAAGACATGGGAAAAGAAATGAAGCTATCCATGTTTATATTCACATATGTATATGTATGAGTGCATTTATGCACAAATTTGTTTTTCTCTCCATATAAACAGAGATTTTACACAATGAACTGTCTTAATCTCTTTTTATATAGTAAAGCTATGAACACGATGTTTTGGTATGACAAGGAATTATCTACATTTATAATACAGGAAGACAATAAAAAAAAATGCCTAAGACTTCACTATGCTTCTAGTAGTTTCTGTCCATGTAGGATCAGCTAGTCAAGAAATTTCTCATTTCACATGTGAGAAAACACCCACATGAGGTAAAACATTTCTTTTTCTTTCTGTACAGTAATTTAAAATCAGAAACTTCCCTCATGTCTTCACAGGAATGACACCTGCATCCGCTGACAGCAGTTGGGGATTTGGCGGTTGTTTTTTGCTTGAGTTTGTGTTTTTTTTTTTAATTCTCTCTTAGCCCATGTTGTAACCAGGAGTGTTTGAATCTGGCTTTTGGCTCTGCATAGGTTTTGTCTGTTCAAGTGTTCTTGTTCATGGACCCTGTCAGTGAAATAAGCTAAATGAAGCTAAACTCTTCCAAATTGTTTGAAATCCAGATCTGACTTATTTTATGGCTTGAGCTCTTTCTTATCTTCTTGCAGCCAGTGTCTGCAGAGTTGGCTCTCTTGAGACACTGTAGCAGACATTCACAGTGCTTGCTATAGATCTTTTGATTTATCCTCTGGTTTCCATGTAGTCTGTATAATCCCTATAGTGCTTATTTAGTGATTATACAATGATCTACATAAACTCCTAATTCTCTTAATTGTGTATAGAATAAACCTGAACCAAGTTGCATATTCAACTGTATGCACATAAGAAGATTTAAGCAAATTAAAACACCATACCAATGTTAACTTTAAAGGTTTGTGCTTTCTGGAAAATATATTCAAAGATGATGTCCACATGTCAGGAAGCTTCCTTCTAGACAAGGGAAAGTTACAAAAGGCATTAAGATTTATTGCTCACTCTGGTGGACCCTGTACTAGATTCAGGCACATCAGACCATTTCAGTGGACTATCATAGAACTAGTTACCCATGAATAATGTTGAATAAATTATGTTATCATGTTAAGTTAAATGAATGCATTTTTAAGGTATAAACCATTTATTTTTGGACAGAGTCTTGAGCGACATGGTCCAGTGTAAGACATCCCTGCCCACGACAGGGGGTTGGAACTAGATGATCTTAAGGTCCTTTCCAACTCTAGCCACTCTATGATTCTATGATTCTATTTTCCACTGGGAATCATAATGCACTTCTATTATTTACCATTTACCATTTCAAAAGATCGAGTGAAATTTTGGAGCAATAGTATATGGTATTAGTATGCTATCATTTTAACCCAAACTGCTGTGTAAATACAAAATACTAAAGGCAAAACCACTCAAAGGTCATGAACTAAGCTAAACTGAAAAATGTTACTGAAAATACCATTGAAGCATTTTTGGCCTGAAAAGGAAAATACGGAAAACGTTTTGTAAGACCACATTGAAGAAAATGACACATTTAATCAAGAAAAAATTGTTTCAGCAAGGAAAAATTAGCACTTTCGAGCCACTTTTTGTGACTCTAACTTGCTTTCATTTTTGATTATGCTTTATGTTATGGGAAATTATCAATACAAAATACACAGACTACACATATTTTTGTATGCTTAAATGTGAGGGCATTTAAAGAAATTGAAACTATAATACTGTAACAAACTGGAAACTGAGGAAAAAAATAAATACTTTTTTCCCCTTATACCACATCCAAGAACTCATTTTAAACCAACCTGGATGCTGGGTCTCTTGGTTTAGTTTTCCCGGTGAAATCCTAGCAGCTAAGCTTGTCAGCAGTGTTGCTTCTAAACTTTCATGATTTAGAAAGTGTTGACAAAAGACAAATTGTTAAAAGAGGGGCTGAAATGATAATGAAAACTGGGAGATGAAAATACAAGTTTTGTTTATTTAAAATTGTGTGTCTGCACAGACAGCTGTGTTAGTGATCTGATTTTATGACAAGCAAACAGTGCTTACTAAAAAGGGATTTATTAAGATATGTGACAGCCTACCTTCTGCTTACCTGCAATTGTCAACATTGCTAAAGCCTAATATTGTATAGATTTTATTACACTCTTAACTGGCACTTGTCTGATCTTTGCTATTCACTTAATCTGATAAGGTAGCATTGAGGCATGTAACGTTATAAATGTTCTATATTTTTATGCTTGCAATCTTGTGCCATGATCAAACAGACTCTAAAACTTACTTACTAGTTCCAAACGAATTTCCTATGTTTGCTGTAATAAAACAGTCTGTGTTTTCCCATTGGAAACAAAACAAAAAGCTTCTTCACACAGTTTTCAGGGTTCGAAAAGCCCTGGTGCAAATACTATTTCTCCTACATGATTAAGGTCTTCATAATTTTTTGCTAACTTTTTAACATCAATTTATTGCTTAGATTTTATCTGTCCTGTTCTCCACTCCAAACACACAACACACCCCCCCCCATACAGAGTGGCCTAACCTTTCAGGTAAACTACACTACCATAAATCCAGTCAAATGAACATGCCCTTCATGTTTTTGACTGAAATCTGTAAAGTACCTCTGATCATACTGAAATTCAACCTGTTAAGATTTGTTCAATTCCATGCATCTGTAAGACTAGGACTTTCACACGTGGAATTAATCTATTCATTTCACACAGCCTTAGTGTAGCAGCTGTTACAGCAGATTCTGGGATTATTTGCTTTTAGTCCAAAAGAAAATAATTACTTGCTATTGAGTTCAATAGAAAATAAGATCCAGCCTCTTAGATAAAGAAAAAGAGAGATCCTTTGGATACAATTTTCGACCCCTCTGAGATCAAGGTTTTGCTGTTTACCTTCCCCATCTCTTTGTGGTCCTGCTCCATAGTGGTGCTATGACAGCTCTAGCACAAATTGAGGCTGGTTTGAGGTAAGGGGCAATTTACACTTTGTGTTAATGATTTCATATAAGTACTTGGAAAAATAATTTGGAATTAAATGGGTAATATTGTCATGAGGAATAAGTACCTCAGTTCTCTTCAGCTAGCTAATCCGTAACTGCTGAGCCATTGATATCACTGGCTTTCAAAGTTTGAAATGGCTCCCATGACAACTTGCATTTAGCTGTAAACTGGATTGTTTAGAATATGGGGAAGAAAAGCTCTAAATACACAAAATCAATGACTCCTGGCCATTCCAGTGGTGTAACATTTTTGTCAGGAGCCTCTTTGTATCAGATTTTTAAGAACCCTGACAAAAAAAGAAAACCCACAAAAAAAAAAAAAAAGTATGATTTATGGTACCTTAAGCATGAGAGCTGTCACGTAAGAAGCCACTATGAAGCAAACAATATGCTGTGCATTTTAACTACTTAGGCTATGGAGAAGGGTTCCCTGGGGGAAAAAATTCAACCTCTCAAACCTACATTAGATCATGTTTCCTTCACTTCTGTTTTTCTGGGACATGTCTGATGGATTTTGGTATAACAGCTGACCATTGTCCCTACTCTTATTCATCTCCAGCCCTGCGTACTCTGAAGTCATCCCTGCAGTAGAGGTCAAAGATTTCTTCCTGGCAGAACTGTTCCACAATGAAATCCATATTCCTCTTTGCTGATGCTACTGAAGTCTTTTGAATCCCTTTTGTATCAGTAGGATTTCCAACCTTAACCCATTGCTGCAAGGGTCCTGGACTTGAATGTACATCCACTGAATGTTGCTGTGCTCCCCCATTGGCAGGACAAACATGATCTTAAAAATTAAGGAGATGCCTGCTAGGGAAATTTTTCTATATAGGGACATTCCCTGCTAAGAGAAACCCGATACAGCTCAGTAACTTATCCCTCTTACTGGTTCCTTACCAATCCCTATGTAAGTGTAGGATGTGGGATAAGAGGGGTATATCTCAATGAGGATTAGGGTAGGTAGGATAGGGAAGGGACTCAAATTTGTATGTCAGACCTTATTAAACCTCCACCTCCCTGACCAGTTTTAAGAACTGTTTAGATCTAAACTGAGCAACCCAGACCATTTCTTTGGAGATACCTCTGGCTCTGCTTTGTCCAGTCAGTCAAAGCAGATGTTCAGAATAGACTTGAACAAGTTTGGTTTTGAACAGGCAACAGTGTCCCAACAAAAGAAATTTTATTGTCTAAGTACATTATACAAACATCCAATGAGTGTTTCATTACTGTGGAAATGTTATCTAACTATTCCCTTTTATTTACCTGTGACTTCTCCCCACAAAGGGAAGTGATTAACATTCATCAATGCACATTTAGCTTTACATAACAGTTTGGTGATCATGTAAAACTACAGGAATATTTTCTTAACCGGGATAGTTTTAATCTAAGAAACAAAGTCAAAGAAGTGTTATTCTGAAACTGTAGCTGAAAACCAACACAATCCTATCACGTAAAGATAGTGGGTTAATAATACTGTTTTAGAAGTCAAATAGTTTATCAGTACCCTGTACTGTTATTTCCCAGAGTTAATAGGAAAACAATACATGAAGAATGGTTCTATTTTTCTGGGTCTTGTAATATTGAATGTCCCTGCTATTTTATGTAAAGTCTGGTTTTGGAAGGATGCTAAACAGAGGCCAGAAGCAGGATAAAAATCCAGCACCTGAATTTAATCGGTGGGTCCTATATTTTAGAAAAAGATTAGACTTCACTGAATGACACTTCACAGAGTAGGATGAAATATAGTATGACGATCCTCAGGGTCCTGATACACCAGCAAAGTAACCTGCTAAGTGTAAGCTTGCTGTGGTGAATGGATGAAGAGAGAGAGCTGGGAGGGAAATTCACAATGAAAAGTTCTTCATGGGATACAAAGAAGCTGGATGAACTGATGCTAGTAAAGGTGGAGACCCCTGACATTATGCAAAAATAAATACTCTTGGTAATTCATTTTAGCTATGTTGTAGGAAGTTCCTACATTTTTACAGCTTTTACCACTGTTAACCAGCAGTAGGTATTAAGTACAGATGTAGAGTCATAAGACCTTTTTCATACTAACTGGTGACTCTGTTGCTGAGTTATTCCTGTTGAAGGAGGTCCTTTGATTTCCTCCAGCCCTGCACAGGGCTTCCCTCCTGGCACCCTGTATTAACGTGTAGCTACAACGCTATTTTGGAGTACTTTTCTTTTGTGTCAGCTCATCACCAGAAGCAGTGAAATGAAGATGACAGATGGGATCCAAACCCATCTGTAATCAGTGAGGATCTTTTTTTTGACTTCTCTGCCCTTGAGATCTGATGATTCACTCAGGACGCTGAAACTATCCCCAGATGCTTAAATAAGGGCTAAGAGATGGAATCAGTGACTGCCTTCAGAAATCTCAGTAATTCATACATTTCAGAAAGTAATATTTAATTTGAAATTTGCTCACAGCATAACTGAACTCTTCTTCTTTTCCTAAGTTATGGAAAATTTCCTTGATCATGGAGTTACTATCATTTTTATGCTGTCTTTCCAACCTTCATCTCATGTTTTCTTGTGTCTATTACTGTATGATTGAATGTAAATGCAGGTCAGACTGTGAGCTTTGTGGACAAGAGGGTTTAGAATGCATTTAGGTCCTCCAAGGAACACATAGAAGGAGTTGTGAAGCATCTGGACAATAAATTGCAGGATAAAGAACGGAATGCCAAACCTGGTGCCTGTTGCATATCAGGTGCCTCCATATCAGATCACAGCCACTTGATGCATTACAGGTAGAGAGACTAAGAAACATTCTATGCTCATTAAATCAAGGCTGGAACCCTGCTATATATATATCTATAATGATTACTCACAGCAAATTCTAGTTTTAATGGATGCCAAAAACTTACCTGCCAATAAAATATGAGGGCCCTAAATACACTCTGTCTGATGTGGACACTTAACTGAGGTACTTCACTTAAATTAGGAGCTGAGTCAGTGGAGAGTTGTATCTCTGGTTGGCTGAACTGTCTTGGTGGAGTATTGACTTGGTGGGCTTTAACTCACTAATGCATTTAAACAGATGAAATTAGTTCATATAGCCCAAGGAGATATTTAGGGTATTCAGGGACAGACCTATTCTAGATATATTAAAATTTAAAGAGAATCATAGGAACCAAAATCTGATTAACCTCACAGTTGGATAATGATGTGAAGTCCCATTGAACTAGGGAAGCAGCCCTAAGGTCTGTAACTGTCCTGACAGCTCAGCTGCTAGGAGTTTCTTTCATGTCCAGTGTGAGGTGTTCCACCATGGCAGGGGGTTTGGAACTAGATGATTTTAAGATCCTTTCCAACCCAAACGTTTCTATGATTCTGTGATGGCTCTTGTTTCACAGGGTTCTGATACAGCATGCGTTTCCATCATCTGCAGTATAGTATGCAGCCATGGTTAGCTGAGCAGGAAATCTGAGGCTTACATATATTCATTCAGCCCACTTCTCCCTTCCCATTGCTACAACTCACTTCTCAGATGCTATAAATACTACGGCTCTGAACGCAAGTGTTAAATCTTCAACAAATGATATATCAGGAGGAAGACTAAACAACCTAGAAAGTTTCAGTTTACCTGGAATTGTTTGGAGTAAATTGCTAAGACTTTTTTTTCTAAAGGTGTGACTAGACTCCACTAATCCCAACTGCCTATAACAGGAAAAGTTTTGATTTTCCTCTCTGTGTGCAAACCATTAATCCAGAAAACAATACCTCAGTTCTTAATATCTTTCCCTCCTCTCAAGTTGCCTGTTACCATTTACTCTTCATTAACTCTTCCAGCTCTATAAATATAGTAATCTTGGGGCTATAACACTGCTGCTGTGCATACGGGCTGTGAGGCCATGTGCTGTTATTACAATTGCATCACAAGCACATGTTATAGGAAAGAATGAGTAGATGAATGAAGACAAGCAGTAGGAAAGGCAATTCAAAAGGAGTTTAGCCTCTGCAATGCAAAGCCACATCCTTCTATTTTCTTTTTTAGAAAAGCTGTGAAACAGGGAAAGGTCCCACATGAAAAATTGAAATGAGAATTTGACCACCTTGAAGTTTCACCGGTTTTGGTTCTGGGATCTGGTTTGAAAAATACCTGAAGTCCTTCTGGTTTGCTTGAGGGAGAGAACAGGTTCTAGCCTTAGGCATAAGAAACTGTGTGTGTACACATAGGGCCTCTGTTTATTTAGTAACTGAAGATGGTGTTTAGTGAAAGTTATTCTAATTAGTCTCACTTAGAACTTCATGAGTTTTAAATCTTCTCTTTCACTTTCCCAGACAGAAATCCCAGCTGATAACAAAGAAAGATTATCTCATTTTGGCTTCCTTATTCTACTGCAAAAATTGAAGTGACCAAAACAACAGCAGGAATGGCCACTGTAGAACAGCAATTGGATGGGCTGGGGCTATGGTGGGTCCTACATCATATATTGGTAACAATGCATGAAATGCATTGGAAAGTGCACTGCATCCTGACGAGCCTTTCACTTACGGCGTAGTTTTGAACATCCTTGAACTGGTTATTTGCACCAAAGATGGGCAGGTTCCAACCAGGACAGGGCCTTCATTCAAGAAGCAAATTTTCATCTGTTTCAATTAAGGCCTAAGTCTTGTTCAACTGCAGACCAAAATGATGATGTTTAAAGCTTCTTTTTTTTCCCCCCTCCATTTATATTTCAGTGATTATGCTCTTTTTGCTCTGGTTTTAATTTGAGAAGAATGCTACAGACCAATAGCAAGTCTGTAGATTACCTTTGCTGATGCTGATCTTGGCAATGAATGCAGGCAGACTGGAAAATGATCTTAATGGAATTTCCTCAATACCTTTGGCATTAGACACAATGGAGCGAACACGACTTTGACGTAATAAATTCATTGGAATATTTGTTTAAGACCAACCCTCCATGACTCGAACATACTTCAATCAAGACGGAATGGGCTAGAAGCTCAGTAATTAACTTTTTAAAGGAAAAATGTCCTTTTTTTCCAGAAATATATGCAGCTTTAGGACCTATCAAGGCAAATGTATGATAAGCAAAGGGGGTTTCATTATTAGGACAGACATGGTCCATGAAACACTCGCTACTTCTGATATGGTATCAGCAAAAACATAATCAACTTCCTGCTACTGTGTGTTCTGAAGTCACAGAACTGAATGCTGTGACCCTTTAAGAACCAAATGCTTCTGCAAATGTAATATGATTGATTTTTTTATTTTGGGGGTTTTTTAATGTCATAAAGCTACCTCCTCCTACTACTTTCTGCTTCTTGCAATAAACAGCAAAAGAGTAGGAGCTACAACTCTGGTTTCAAGAGACCTGCATAAAGAATATTCAATTAGTGACTGGTCAAGAACAGACTAAACGACGACTAAAATTTAATGGTAACCAGTTTTCAGTTTCTTTCCTGAAAATGGCTAGGAGCAGTGGAATTTTCCCAAATCAGAACAAAAACCATGCGATGTGTGTGAAGTCTTGTAATAATGGATGTCCGATCATAGCAAATGGGGCAAGAGGAAGTAAATTCTGGCCATGCAAAAGCCTGTTTCTGACTACAAACACAACTAAGGTCAAATAAAATTTATTTGGAGGGCAGTGAATCAGTGATTCAGAGATGAGCTGCAGGCAGAAGAACCTGTACATGCTGCAGTGGAGAGGCATACCCTCTAGCTCCCCAGGAAGCCAGACTTTGATGACCCATGCAGACCAGGGCCACACAAGGCCCACAGCATCCCATGACACATAGGCTTTCTCGACTGGAGTAGGGACTTTCTCTCTTTCCACTCCTCCTACCCCTTCCTTTTCATGTTGTCTGTCCTCACCCTAG